CACAACATCCCAATCATCATGTTTAATACAAAAAAATTATATGCCCTAAGGGTAACTACGACATTTTGCACTTGAAAAAAATTTCGCACAGTGCATAAGTCCCAAAAAATTTTTCCACTTCTAACAAGGAAAGTACTTTTATGGGGGCTCCTACTTTTTGACGGGACATATCTCAAAAAATCAGAAAAAATGTGCTGATCAAGGATATATAAATCTTAGCTGCCCATTTTAGGTTTTTAGGGGTGAAAACTTGCTCGGAAGTTGACTTAAAGTCCTATATGAACCCCTTTTCGCCTAATTTTTCACGGGTTTACAATTTTTATTTTGGCTTAAAATGATGTTTATTGAGTTTCTAAGACGTAATAAATCAGTCTTGGCCCAAAAATTTATTTTTCTGACCTTCAACTTCAAAAAAAGTTGATTCGGCCCAAAAGGGAAATCGAACCCGTGCGGCATCCCCCCTCTTGATTCCCAGACTACGGCACTAACCACTCGGCCACACCGCTCTCTTCCGAAGGAAGAGACCGATTGCGCTTTTTATCGTTTCGAATCCTGCGCCTTTTGTAGGGAAATTAAGCCAGTTTTTGGGCATTTTCACCCATAAAAACCCAAAATGGGCAGCTAAGATTTATATATCCTTGATCAGCAAATTTTTTCTGATTTTTTGAGATATGTCCCGTCAAAAAGTAGGAGCCCCCATAAAAGTACTTTCCTTGTAAGATTTCCAAATTCCCTAAAACTGACTCCAAAATTAGCATGATTTCGAATACTTCTTTCGGGCCTCAGACTTCCGAAAACTTGGCTAATTATAATTTGAATATTCAAATGTCCAGAAATCGGACTCCCCAGCGGAAATTTCGCTTTAATTAAGGAAATTCAAGCGGAAAGTGGGCAATTTTTTTATGTCCTACTTTTTTTGTGTCACGGATTTAATATTCATATAAAAAAGGGGAAAGAAAAAGGGGAAAGTGCAGATAATTAATGCATTGACCGCCCAAACTTGCTCCAAAAGTCGGAATTTGGTGTTAAAAACAAAGGTAGAGAATTTTTAGAGAATACAAGACTAGGTAAAGGACCCATCAATAACGAAAAAAACAATTTTTCTCTGACCGTCTCTCCTCATTTTCCATAGTCTCTAGCGCGGGAAGATCGTTTAATATCTCGGCTTCGCTTGCATATTATAAACGAAAATTTAGAACAAATAAAGTATGTTCTAAATACATTGTTCACACAAAATTTCAGGCAATTTCATTAAAACAGTTATGAAAAAACACTGCTCAAATTTTGGTCAAGTACAATATAAAAAAGTCTCCGCAAACCACTCAAAATGAAGATAAAATGGCCTTTTGAGAGCTTAAAATGTCAGAAGACCCTTTTATTCGAATATTCAGAGCTTGTATTTTCTTTTGTCTTCAGATGCCCTCAGGCAGATTTTAATAATTTATCAAAAAAACAAGTTCAAACGTCATAATATGGTGATTGATTGGGTAGTGGGGAGGGAAAAGGGTATAAAAAAAATTTTTGAAGAGAAGAAATCTCGTATTTTACAAAAAAAAAACAAAATTTTTACCCAAAAACAGCCAAAAAATAAAAAAAATCCCAGAATTCCTAAAAAACCCCAAAGTTCGAACCTCAAAAGTTGTAAACCAGACAATCCGAGAAGTTTTTTTTTCCAACGGGATTTACTTTTTCCGCTCCTTTTTTCGAGTTTTTTCGGTTGGCCAGCCCCTTTTCCCAGTCTTTTTCCATTTTTTTGGGTCATTCGATTAGCCTGGCCACGCACAACCAAGGGGTTTGGCCTGAGGGAGGAAAGGATATACTTATAAGTCCAGACAAAACAACACTTTTCGTCTGAGGGATGGATTTTCGAGGTAGAAATTATATTTGGGGAGTTAGAAAAAAAATTTTTTTTTGCAAAATTTCAAAGAAAAAATCAAAATTTTTTTTTTTGAAATTAAAGAAAACAGTATTTTAAGGTACTTGGGAGCCATTTTAAGTCGTATTTTAAAGATACCATCAAATTATTTGGCTTCGAAATTCAAAAAATCCCGTTTTTAAAAAAAAAATTTTTTTGCAAATTTCGAAGAAAAAATCAAAAAAACTTTTTTAATGGAATTTAAGAAAACGGTATTTTAAGGAACCTGCGAGCCATTTTAAGTCGTATTTTAGAGATACCATCAAATTATTTAGCTTTGAAATTCGAAAAATCTCGTTTTTAAAAAAATTTTTTTTTGATCTAAAAAGTTCACAAAAAAAATTTTCAACCAAAAAATCACACAAAAAAAATATTTTTTCAATTTTTACTGCTCTAAAAAAGCTATTTTATGGTAAAATACGGTAAGATAAGCCAATTATTCCATAAAAAATCTTTTCAAAAATATTTTAAAATTACAATCTCCCGCCCTAAAAATTACGATAAGTTGTTCAATTAGTCCGAGAAGAGATAAACAATGTCATAAACTCGTTTTATTCCGAAGAGAGAGACGTTCGAACAAAAGTTTGGGATCAATAAAGCCAATGAATTGATTCAATCATAAAATTGGCCGCGAATTCGGGGAAATTTGGTCGTTTTAATCGGAAAGAATTATCTAGGCCGTATTCTAGAGGCGATGTTTTGTAATTTTACTGCGTTTTTGGAAGAAAATGGAAAGTTTTTTGCAAAAATATAGGTTTCTTGCAATTTTTTGGATAAAAAAGGTCTTAAATTTATGTAAAAATAAAGGTAATCAGAAAGTAAAAATTAATAATAAAATTTTTAAGAATTTTTACATCTAAAATCATTTGAAAAGCCAACCTTGCTAGTCAAAATCAATAAAAAAATCATCAAAAATACCAAAAAATCTGATTTGTTGCCAAATTTTATGGTCCAAAGAGTTCAAAACTTCCAATATACACAAAAGTAACAGTCAAAAAGAATTGCTGCAAAAATTTGCATACATTTACACCACTAAAATCACTTCAAAAAGCTCCAAAAAACTTTTCTTCCCATGCCGGGAATCGAACCCGGGCCGCGTGGGTGAAAGCCACGAATCCTAACCACTAGACCACATGGGAGACGCTCCGAGGCTCTCGGGAAATGAACCGGATCGGAGAGAGAGGGACGGGAAAGATAAAATCAAAGGAAAAGAGGGCTTTTTGAGGAAAAATTGGGGTAAAATCAGGAAAATATTGTAAAATACGAAATGAAAAACATTCCTAAATATTGCAAAAGGTAGAATGAAGTGAAAAATTGGCAAAATAAACCAATTTTTTCCCATTTTTTACCCGGAAATGCTTGATTTTTCTGTCTTTTTAAAAAAACAGGCTGAAAAAAAGTAAAATACGACATAAAAAAAACTTATATTTCTCAAAAAACAAAAAAAAGTTTATTTTATCAACAAGAAAATCGAATTTTTACATTTTTCTTTGAAAAATCATCATTTCTTTACGTTTTTTGCCCTTCTTTCCAATTTTTTAGCATCTGAACTCTCCAAACTCAATTTGAAAAGACCTTATTTGTATTTTGAGTCCCATTTTTTACTATTCCAAGGCAACTACAACATCCCCTACATTACAATTTCCCTCCCTTTTCTTTCGTATCAGCCGTCTGGAATAACAAAAAGCTTCGCAAAAACGGAAGCGCACAACAATAAGCTTTCGAAGCGAAATTAAAAACTTCTCGGGGCCAAATTTGATTAGCCCAAACAAAGGGAATAATCCTTCCGTCCGAAATTTGCATAAACATAATAAGCCCTGAGGGCTCTCCAAATATGAGCCCGAATGGGATTACGGTTGGGCAATTTGCAAATGCATTGTGAGTGGGAAAGAATTAGACGTCTAGAAATTTGAGTGGGAAATTCAAAAATGTGGATTTTTTTTTAAAAAAAATTCAAAAAATGGCTCAAAATAAAATTTGAAAATTTCTCAAGAAAAAATTTTCAGATTTGCTTAAAATTTTGGACATATCTTCTACATGAGTCAATTATCAAGCCCTGAAAATTTCAGCCATGACGTTACAGCGGCAGCCGAGATATTGAACTAACTTTACCGCCATTAGAGCACGCAAATTGCGGAGAGCAGCCAGAGAAAAGGCAATTTTTGACCGCATGCTTGCTCATTCCGCAAAAGAAAACCGATTTTTTGTGAGAAAAACTTCAATCTACAGCACGGCATTCTGTACTTTTGAGGCACAACCGGTCTCTCCGAACTTTTTCAATTTTTTCAAAATGGACCTCCTTCTTTAATTCATTGCTCGCTAGCCGTTGAAGCTAGAGACTTGAAAATTGGCACGGATATAGAGTAAAGGTTCTGCTTTCAGAATATATAAATATTGTAATCTACCCCGCGCTGTAAGATTCGCAATAAGATGCCAAAGTATTTCATTCGAAAAACTTCATGCGCCTGCAAGGTCGTTTTACAGGATCAAAATGGCAAGTTTTAAGATGCTGATGTGTGCAGAATGGTGTCCCATAAGTACAGAATGCCGCGTACAGTAGAAATCAGAGAAAAACTTTTTTGCAAAAATCGTCAAAAAAACGTCATCATTTTATGCAAATTTAGACCTAAAAATCTCGGTTATTTTAGCGAGGCGCAAGCTGAAACTCTCTTACGAACATTAGAAGAACATACGACAAGTTTTTACAAAGTTTCCTAAAAATCTGCGCACTTTCTAAATTTGAGAGAAACACTTGACTCAAGAGTGTAACACTTGACTCAAAAGTCTTCAAATCGCTTCTAAGCCCTTTTAAGACCTAAATTAAGATAAAATAAGTGTTTTAAAAGCGATTTCTCCCTTTAATCCCCTTCATAAATACAAAATGACGTCATTTTTGTTTGAGCGATGGATACCCCGGCTTTTGCGGGAACGTTAATAACCAGCAAATGTTTGAGTTTCCGTTTTTCTCCAACTCCAATCGGGTTCATTCCGCTTTTTTTCAGTCACGGAAATTGGTTCATGATCACAAAAAGGAGCAACTTTGTGCGTGCTCACTCATTATTCATGTCAAACTGAAGGAGATTTGATGGTTTCTATCAAGGAATATGTGGAATTTGTTTTGGTGATTATTGCTTTGATCGATGAAGTTAATGTGAGTATAATTTTCATTTTTTTATTATAAAAAAATTAAAATTTTTTTGCACTGTGCAAAAATTCAAATTCAAAAAATTGCACTGTGCAAACAAAATGAGAGAAAAATTTTGCACTGTGCAAAAATTGAAACTAAAAACTGCACTGTGCGAAAAATCAATGTGAAAAAATGCACTGCGCATACAAAACGAGAATAAAAAATCGCACCGTGCAGAAAATCCAAATTGAAAAATTGCACTGTGAGAAAACTGAGACTAAAGATTGCACTGTGCGAAAAAATTGGAATAAATTTGCACCGTGAAAAAATTAAAATTCAAAAAAATTGCACTGTGCAAACAAAATGAGAATAAAATTTTGCACTGTGCGAGAAATCCAAATTGAAAACATTGCACTGTGCGAAAAATCAAAGTGAAAAATTTATTTCAGAGCTTGCCAACTGCCAAAAATTGCGAAGACCTCCTTCACGTCGGCTACAAAGACAACGGAATCTATGAAATTTCCACTTTCCAAGGCCCTAGATCCGTCTATTGCGATCAGATTTCGGATGGTGGGGGCTGGACCGTAATCCAGCAACGATTCAATGGAACCGTCCAATTCTGGAGCGCCCGTTGGGAGGAATATGCGAACGGGTTTGGGGAGTTGGGAGAGGTGTGTTTCGGTTGGTTTTTAGGCAATTTTTTTAGGACACCGAGTTTTGGGCGGGAAATGAGCTAATTCATGAGTTGACGGCACAATGCAGAAACATGAGCCGGCTTAGAGTGGTTTTATTTGGCGATCGGAGTCCGATGAGTCAAGATGATGGGCAATTGTATGTTGGAAACTACTTGTTCAAGGTAAAAATGAAGATTTTATATTGTTTTAGAGGCTAGGTTGCTGATTTTTGCAAAAAATTTTAATTTCTGGTCTAAAATACGACTTTTATGCCAAATTTCTTTTCCTTTATACAAGATGGCGTATTTTAAAAGCTATTTCTTCTCTTTTTGGCCTATAAATTTACTCTTAATCATCATTTTTACCTTATTTTAGACAAAGTTTTTTTTTATTTTCAAAATTTTGCTTTGAAATTCAATTTTTCTCGGCTAAAAAGTTTTGTAATTACACGTAAATTAGAAACTGCGTATTTTACCACCACTATCGTATTATTTTAACCTTTAAATTCACCTTTAATCATCATTTTTACCTTATTTTAGACAAAAATTTCAAAAAAATTTGAAATTTTTTTATTCTCAGATTGACTCGGCCTCCCAACTATACACTATCCACATAAAATACGACAAGAATTTGCCGAACAACGCCACCACCGGCTGGTACGACCTCACTTTAGCGGATCTGAATCCATTTTCCACGGTCGATCGAATCCACGATCCAGAGCCATATTGCCTGAGGCAATATCGGATGGGGTAAGTGCACGATAGATTATGCATATTCAACACACACTATACCAGCCTTTTTGGGATATTTTTTAGCTATTTCTGAGAGTATTTCCTCAAAAAAGTAAATTTTTTTTGTTATTTTTTCTGGATTTAATTTTAAAAAATCGTATTTTAGTGGCTGGTGGACCAAGAACTGCGGTGTGACCTCACTGAACGGTGAATACAACCCCAGAGAATACGGCAAAGGCTTTGGATTATTTTTTATGCTCAAAGGACAACGAGTTATTCATCCCAGGACAACTCAGATGATGATACGGTGTAATGATGGCTAGGATAAACATTTATTTCACTTTGGGGATTATTTCCAGCGTCTTTAGGGCTTTTCTGAACATTTGAGCGATTTTAACGACCCGTGTAGATTTGGCGCAGTGGTTGTGATTTTTCTTTGTAATCGAAAGGTCGCGGGTTCGAATCCCACTGGAGGGAAAAGTGGGATATCACAATAATAAGCAATCAAAAGCCATCCCAGCCAAAAAAATCTTCAATTTCTGACAATGTAGCTGTTTAGTATAGTGGTAAAAAATTTATTTTAGGAAACTATTTAGGGAATTAGACAAAAATTAGCATATGCTATAACAAATATGGTAGAAGGATAGGTGATATGAAAGGATCGCTATGAAATTATTAAAATTTGTTAGGCTCAAAATATGACAAACTTGGCAACCAAAAGAAACACTCCAAACTTTCTCAAAACACTCTAACAGCGCTGTGACCAAAGTCCACCACATAGATATGTCCACTCATGGAGATGGCAATGTCGCAGGGTCGGTCCATTTCGGGTTCGGCGGTGAGAACCGCCAAAACTCGGCGCTGAGCGACGGAAACTACCTAAAATACGGTAAATTAGTATCGAAAAAATCAAAAAATGGTGGTCATTTTAAAGACCAAGGTCTATAAAATCCTCTGCATGTCTTTTGAGACCAATTTACCTGAATTCTATTGGTTCTCGAATCACAAACAAGCAAGTTGCCCTCGGGGTCCAAAACCATGCCCTGAGGGCGAGTGAAGCTTCCGGCTTCTTGCCCTTCGGAGCCGTAAAACTCCACAGACTCCATAGGGCGAGTAGTGTCGATTTGGACAATTCTGTGGCCGTTGAAGTCACTGAAATTCAAAAAAATTGTCAAAAATAGAGCAAAAATTTAAAAAATAAATCAAAAATGTCCAAAAAAATCGGTAAAAATGTCTATGCACGGTTTAAAAATAATCTCCAAGTAATAATCGTCCTAGAAAAACCCCATTACCATCAACTATCTACCCAAAAAAATCAAAAAAAAAGACTTTCAAAACTCAAAAAAATTTTCAAAATATTACACTTGAAATTCAAATAAATCTCTCTCACCTAACCAGAATATTGTCATCATCCACAAAGACGACACCTCTCGGCCCAAACACTTGTTTCTCAGCGCTCGGGAAGGCATTTCTCCCACAAATTCTGACCAATTCTCCCTTTTCGTTGAAGATTTGGATTCGATTGTTTCTAGAGTCCGTCACAGCAATGTCATTTCGCTTGTTGGTGGCGAGTCCCCACGGGTAATTGAAGCTGCCGGGATGACGTCCATTTTGGCCAAATTTGAACAAAAAGTTTCCGTTTTCGTCGAAAACTTGGATACGATGATTGTCCTTGTCCGCGACAATGATTTGGTTCTGAAAACACAACGATTTCATTCCGTATATTCCGTATTTTACATTTTTCCTGATTTCCCCGCAAAAACCCGCACTTCCGACCCGGTACCCCAATAGTGTATTGGTAGTGACACCAACTTCTAGTCGAAAAGTCGCAGGTTCGAATCCCACTGGAGAAAAACCATTTTTTTGTTGGATAAAAGGTATTTTTAGCTTTCAAAAAGTATAGTAAAACACCGTAGAGCCTAGAACTCACCTTCAGATTGGTTGCAACTCCGGCTGGCCGGTTGAATTGGCCAAGATCCGAGCCAAATTTGCCAAACTTTGCGAGAAAATTGCCTTCTTCATCGAAAATCTGAAAGTAAAATCTTCAGCCGTTAGACACGTACTTTAAAAATAGTAGAAAATAGTAGAAAAATTAATAATACATTATAAAATGACTAAAAGTCCCACTTTCAAGCCTCTTTCCCGCCCAAAATTCATCAAACCCCACCTGAATTCGGTTGTTTGAGCGATCGCTGACCACAATCCTTCCCTTCTGATCGCAACAAATCCCCCATGGGCGATTCAGCTGGCCGTCGGCGGTTCCTTCACCTCCGAACGTAAACTTTGGCCCCTTGACTTGTCTATGGCCCACTCCCGACAACTCAATGAAAGGGACTTCGCTGAGAAAACTGTTGGCCTTCGGGCTTGCCTGACTCAGGTCCAGACGGAACATTGGCGGTGGAAGAGGGGTCTGAGGCTTGGAGACGTAACGCCGACTCCGTTCGAAGCTATGTGGAGCCGTTTTGATGTTCGGAGTGCTGGTGGTAAAGTTGGGGGCACCCGTGGAAGCGCCATAAAACGTGTGATTGGGCTTGGAAAGAGGTGGCATCTGCAAAAATGCCGATTGATATCTCTATCAGAATGAAAAAACACCAGCATTGCCAAAAAAAAGTCAAAAAATTTATATTGTACTAGGTAAAAATTTTAAAAATTTACCTGTTTGTCGACGATCGGAGACATCACGGAATTGTTTCGTTGTCTCTTGGGATACGGCTGATGTTGGAAGACGTCTGGAGAACCAATCGAACTGTTATGCCAAGCACTTCGAGCCAAATCGCTGTCTTGAGTCGAGACACGGCGCTAAAATACGAAAAATTACCATAAAATTTCTCCGCACTCGAAGTTTATAATCTCAGAAGTCGTATTTCATCTCAATTCTTCTTCAGACCTAAAAATCGAACAAAATAATCAAAAATCTTACAAAAGGCTCTACTTGTTTTACATTGTGCTCCTTGAGCACTCTGATAGTCTGGTGGGCATCGTAACAGTTGCGACACAGATATTCCGGACAATCGGAGCAGTAGTAGATGGCTGAGAGGCCATAGTTGCAGTTTGAGCAGTCGAAAGATTCGGGTTTTCTGGGATCACTGAATTGACTGAAGTAACGATGAGTGCGGCTGAATGGGGACTCCGGGGACAGCAGGGACTAAAGTAATAGGATAAATTTACTGTAAGGGATATTTCACAGGCAAATAGGTAAGGAAAATATTCTTCATCAAATCGAAAATGCATTTTTTCGATCAAGATGGTCAAGTACAATATAAAATGCCTAAAAAATAAGAAAATCTATAAAACCTCGATGACCATAATTTTTCAAAAGCTTGGCCCCAAACCACATGTATGCACCAAAAAAGATAGCCATTTCGATCAAAAAATGCGTGGTATTAGGCCATTTAGAAATTGTTACCTAAATCAAGAAGAACATATAAAATTCCATGAAAATTAGTGTAAAAAAGCCTAAAAAATATCAGAAACCCATTTTCGATAATTCTACCGCGCCTCACCCACAAAATCCGCACAAAACATCATTCGTGAAACGCCAAGATCAACTACCTAAAACAATATCCAAAAATTATTTGCACCAAACCACGCTTCGTAAAACCGAAAGTTACGTCAAATCCAACTCTCATAAATGCAATATTACAATCAACCATCCCAAATATGACATAAAATGAGGACTTACATCGAGATATTCGGGTCCATAGCTGAAGAAGTTCCCATCCTCGGTCAGCGACTCCATTCTGCGCTTGTCGGCGGACATCTTTACTCTGGGCGACAGTGCAGAACGTCCGGCACTCATGTTTATGACTACTCCGGAGCCGCTGGAGGCATTCTGAAGAACAGAAGTCGAGGAAAGAGAGAGTTGACCCGGGCAGTGGGAATGGGTCAAGTCTTGCCTTTTTGATGAAAATTACGTAAAATGGTGAAATTTGGGTGCAAGGTGCGTAATCAAGTATCAGAAAGGCTTTCAAAAGTTGTTTTCTTTATAAATATTTACTTTAATGTGTATTCCAACCGTGTTTTGATTAAAAAATCAAAGAAATTTCAAAATGACGTCACTCTAAGAGTTTACTCAAGAATCAAAAATTATTCGCAGAAAACAGCCTGGAGCTTCACGGATTGGAACTTTCTGCATTTTTTCCAAAAGGTTGGGGGGTCGACGGCGCCAGTATCCGCCTCCGAGTACTCGATCATGAACTTGTTCTTCTTCTTTTGCATCTGAGGAATGCTTTTTATGGGCTCTACCATAGCGGCCAATACCTGCATAGCTCGAGGATTGATTACGGCGTAGTTGGGACGGACTCGGAAAGGTTCGGGATTCGTGACCATCACCTTGATGTACATGAAGTGGTCCGTGTTGTTGATAATGCAAATGGCGGAGGTCACAATCTCGTTGAATGGCCCTGAAACGGCGTCATAATCATTTGCCGGGCTTATGGCGTCATTTTTTAAAATTCATTTTAAGTTCGCACAGTGCAATTTCATTTTCGCGGCGCACAGTGCGTAAAAAATAAAAATGAATATTCTGCACTGTGCAATTACAGTACTGCGACAAAACTGCGTGTAGCAAAAATTTTGAAACCTCTTCCTCCCTATGCAACTCAAAACTTAATTTCGCGAAGCCTCTCGGCACTGTGAAATCAAATTTTATTTCCCCTGCACAGTGCAGTCAATTTATACATCCGCACTGTGCACAAAGTAAGAATATCTTTGCTCACCTCTAAAGATCAGCTCATTCTCCGGCTCGACAATGATTCCTTGCTCATTTGGGGGGGCATATTCGTCTGCGGCCACAGTACAACCATCTTTTCTAACGTCTTGACCTTCCAGGAGGAGTTTCTAAAAAAATTTGGAGATAATTGATATTTATTGCTTTCCGACGGTAATAAACTTTTAAATTTTCATAAAAAAAATATATTTTTGCAGCGCCAAACAGTCACGATTCTCAACTAAAGTCGTAAAAATTTCGAAAAAGTTCAAAAATTTCAAAAAAAATCCAAAAATTTTTTAAAAATTAAAATTTTCGGAAACTCCCAAAAGCCCTGAAAATCTTCATCGACCCCAAAAAAACTCAAAAAAATCAAAAAAAAATCAAAAAACCGAAAAATCCTCAAAAATCCCTTCAAAATCCTAAAACCCACCACTCTGAGCCGAATGAACTGCATCCGATGCTTGATTATGTCCACCTCCTTCCAGAACTGTTCCTGTTTCACATTCATAGTGTTGGCCTTGGCCGTCTGCACCATGATCCGATGGTTTTCCTTGGCGGCGGCCTTCGGATTCTTCAGCGGTTCCAGGCGGATCGTGGCGGCGGTGGATTGGCCCGGTTTCAGAGCGCCCGTCTTGCCGCGAACGCGGTAATGTTGCGGGACCGTCGCGAGGATCTTGTACTGGATAATGTCTTTGCTCTTGTTGGTCAGTTTGATGTCCTTGAGCTGCGGTTTGTCGTAGGGGTCTGGAAATGGAGGACAAGGCGAAATTATTTGGTTGTCCAGAAAGTTCGTTCGTTTTTTTCATTGCTTTCTTTTACAAGGATGGTTTGGTTTTTGGCAAAGGGAATATACTTATTTGATACATCTTTTCCTCCTCTACAAAACTGTGTTTTTAGTTTTTTTTGAAAATTAAATTTTTCATTATTTTTTGGGCTCAGAAATGAACCATCTAGGAGGCAATTTTTATGGTGATATAAAAATGCAAGAGGCTACTTTATACCTTTTAAAAAATAAACTCGACCCAAAAATTGAGGAAACTGGAATTTTTACACAAAAAATGCCTAAGGCAAAACTCTCGATTTAAGGTCGCAAATCCAAAAAAATCGAACCAAAGCTCAAGAAATTCCCAAAAAATCTCCTGTTGCCCTTCAAAAATCCCCCACATTAAAATTTCTTGCCAAAACTCACAGGAAAAGACGATTTTCTCCGGTAAGACCACCAGATTCTTCTGTTCTCCTCTCGTGAATTCGTTCATCTCCGGCTGATTTCCGCGGCCCTTCCATTTCCCCTTTTCCGGGCCTTCGTCTTCATCCGGTGCTCCAGCATCAATATCAATGTCCGGCGGCCTCTCTGAAACCAATGCTCCAGCTTTACAGTCGTAAACTAGTCCAACTTAAAACCTACCTTGGGTCATCTCCGTCATCATAGTTTTGCCAACTTTTGTGGGCGTTTGCATCTTCGAGTCTGTAAAAAAATTTCAAAAATTTTCAAAAATTTAAATTTCCCGCCAAAAATATTCAAATTTTTGGGGGATTTCTTACCTGTTTCTGGAAGGAGATATGCAGTTTTTAAGGTCTGCCCTTGAGGAGTTGAGGCTTTTGCGGCGGCTGAAAAAACAACATTTTATCGTCAAAATAAAATTACAGTAAAAATTTGGTCTACTTTCTCTACATGGGCTGTAAATCAATCTCTGATAATTTCAGCTGATTCTTTGCAGCGGTTGCGGAGATATTACGCAATCTTTTTGGCCGAGAGAGTACGCAAAAAGAAGAGAACGGCCAGAGAAAAGACGTTTTTTTTTGGTTATTTCTTTTTTGGGACTGGGACGAAAAGATACGGTATGACAATGCAAGTTAAAGGCTTCTCTAACGTCTTAAAAAATTCTATGATATGATACGCCTAAAAACGTCTGAAAAAATCTCAAAGCCGCTGTTGAAGTTGTGTCATCAAAAATAGAAACTCCAATCGCCGGGCATCTACCGTTACCGCCAGCTCCTTCCGTACCTGCAGGTCCTTTGACGAGGCTCTTCGGGACGTCCTCCTTGATTTCTTGTTTGACACTCTTAGCCGCGCCTCCAGCCGGAGCTGCAGGGCTCTTTAAAACGCTGATCTGGGTCTTTGTGGCGTCTCCCTTTATTTCTTGTTTAACACTTTTGGCTCCTGCACCCGCAGCTCCACCAGCATCGGCACCTCCAGCAACAGCTCCAGCAGGTGCGGCAGCAACTCCAGCGCCTACAGGTGCTCCGGCAGCTACAGGAGCTCCAGCAGCAGCTCCAGCAGCTGCAGGGCCTCCGGCACCGCCTGAAAAAAAGGTTAAAAAAATCATTCAGCAGACTCCAAAATTAACATCCAAAAGTATCACGGCGAAGAATCTTAAATTTTTGTGCGTTCACGGCCCATTTTCACACCAAACTTGAGGGCTCATTAATAACTTTGGAGAAGTCCCTTATTTTGGCCACAACAAAGGCACTCTGCGAACTGCGCCCAAGCTTGGGAAATAAAGTTAGGAAAAAAACGACCTAGCTGGCACTGAATTACTACAGTAGCTGTATAGTTTTAATGGTACCTATGAAGGCTATGAAGACTCATTTAGTTCCACACGGAGGCAATAAGTTTAGTTCCGGACAGGTTTCATCGTACAAAGTGTAAAATCGCAGGCTGCAGCCGTTTTTGAAGGGTAAGGTGGTACGTAAAAAAGAAGGTACCTCACTAACTAAATCCACTGTCCGAGCATTGACAACGATGAATTGAGCCTGTTCACGCCAAATTTGGGCCAATTCTGACCAGTTTCCGCAAAGTTATAAGTTGCGGCCAGAATAAGGAACTTTTACCATAACTTTCTTGAACATTTTTACTGGCCTCTCAACTGCCCAAACCCAAGTGCATTACACATCAAAAAGTCAAACAAAATACCGTAAAAACAAAACCCCTCTATCTACATAATCGTGACTTACCTGCAGCCTGAGCTGCAGCCCCTTCAGCTCCAGTGTCTGGTTGCATTTCTGGAGCCACGAATGTGGACATCGGTGATAAGCCTGTAAGTACAAATATGGACAGCATTCCTTGGGCTTACCTCCAGCGGGTACGACGCCGGCTCCGGCTACAGCGGCTCCTGCTCCGCCTGCTCCTGCGCCAGCGGCTGCTCCACCGGCTGCTGCTCCACCTCCGGCTCCGCCGGCTGCTGCTCCTGCGCCAGCGCCAGCGGCTCCGGCAGCGGCTCCTCCGGCTGGAGCACCTTTGCCGGCTTCGGCGCCTGGCTTATCTCCGTAAGCGCTCTTTCCACCCCCCATTTCTTGGGCCAAGAACATCGATCCGCCTGCAAATATGAACATGGGTCTGCTTCATTGGACTTACCTCCGCTTCCTTTCATTCCTTGGCCGAGGAACATCGATCCTGAAAATATAAATATGGCCAATGTTTTTTGGACTTACCTCCTCCGCCACCTCCGCCACCACCGCCTCCGCCGCCACCTCCACCGCCGCCTGCAGAGCTTTTTCCGCCGCCTCCGCCGCTCGGCTTCGGCTCGTAAGCGCTTTTTCCACCGCCCATTTCTTGCGCCAAGAATGTGGATCCGCCTAAAAATAAAATATTTATATACAAATAAGTATGGAAACAAAAATATACAAATAACTATGGCTACGATTCATTGGACATACCTCCTCCGCCTTGCATCCCTTGGCCCAGGAATGTAGATCCTGCAAATGGAAATACATACATATATGCCTATGGCCAGCATTCCTTGGACTTACCTTTTCCGCCACCGCCACCGCCTCCACCACCGCCTCCGCCACCGCCTCCACTTCCAGCTCCGCCTCCGCCGCCGCCTCCACCGCCGCCAGCTCCAGAATCGCCGGGATTAGCCGCTGGTTGTCCTAAGAACACCGAACTTGGACCCATTCCACCGCCCTGCATTCCTTGGCCGAGAAATGTGGAAGAGGGGGCTAAATATGATCAAAATTGGATCCAGGATGTTAGGTAAAGCGTTGACATAAAATACAGAGCCTTTTGAAGGTTTTGAAGTGCTATTAAAAAAGTGTCAAAAATGTCAAAAAACCTCAAAGATGATTTGGTCCAAAAAGTCAGCCTTCGAAGACCTCAAAAGCAATGAAAAGCATCAAACAGTATCAAATTGAATTCAAAAAATAACACTATTAAAAAGAGCCCTTCTAAATCAGCAAAAAAGTATCAAAAAGTGTCAAAAATGTCGAAAAACCTCAAAGATGATTTGGGCCCAAAAAGTCACAGAATAGTCTTCGAAGGCCTCAAAACCTATGAAAAAGCATCAAACAGTACCAAATTGAATTCAAAAAATAGCAGTACAACAGAAGAGCCCTTCTACAGTGAGGGACCTGATCCAATGGCAAAAAAAAAACGTCTCATTTTGCATCCCGGAAGGTGATGCTTTCCTTCAAAGCGGGCTCTTCAAAGCGGGGTTTTTTAGCTTAGAGAAGGGAAGGGTTTGGAGACATTTTGGTCCCTTCCGGGATGCAAAATGAGATGTTTTTTGCCATTGGATCCGGTCCCTCACTGTAAATCGGTAGCTGTGTTAAAGCCTACCGCGATCATTCGCCATTGTTTGCGCTCTCCGAAAACAGCGACCGCTCACTGAGGATCCAAAAAATGCTATGAGGGCAAATTGGGAATTGAGGAAAGTTTTTGAAGGGCGGAGGGAAATTTGCATAAAATGTTGGGATTTTTTGGAATGAAAATTAGTCCGAGAAGAAAAGTTCTTTTCAAGAATTGAAATAAATCCAAGTTTTTTTTCAAAAAATATCAAATTTTGAGATTTTTGGCTTGTTTTGATCAGAGATGACTTTTGCAAACAAAAAAAATTTATTCAGAGCTGATATTCTTTAATATAAAATACATTTTTATCCAAGCCGAGGCATACTGGCATAATAGAAAAACTCCTTCGCAGGTAAAATGGATACCTGAAGGGAAAGTTTTCGAAATATTTTTTACATTAGCGTGGCAAAAAATGCAATTTGATTTTTGCAGTGCAGCAAAAATAAGAAAAATTTTTGCACGGTGCAAATTGTATTTTTTTTATATTTGGCTGCGCTGTGCAGCCGAATATGACTTCTTCTTGCACTGTGCTAGTCATTGGCAGAAATCTTACGTGAAAATATTTCTGTGTTATTAACATTAGACAAGCTAATAAAAACTGCCTAAAAAACCTTCAGTTGCTGTCGAATCTTTCTGAAATATTGTAATATCCGACAATAATTTCTTCCTTCGTTGGCCTATTGCTTTATTTTCCCCGTTTTTACATTCACAGGGGACTCGGATTTACTTATAAGAACCTTTATTTACTTATAAAAACTCGATGTTTTTATAAGTAAATAAAAGTTCTTATAAGTAAATAAAAGTTCTTATAAGTGATTTTGAAATCACTTATAGGTAATTTTTATTTTCGGCGCCCGGGAAATTCACTTATAGGTAATTATAAATACTTATAGGTAATAGAAAATTATGCACAGTGCAGGATAGATATAAATTTATTCAAACCAATGAAAAACAACTTGACAAGCTTTGTGATATATTACCGGTATGATATTGAGGTTAGCGCATCTTCTGTGCTCCGGATAACCATCTCTGTCATTTGTCCTGACGGGGCATGGATTGCTTCTGTGCGGATTTTCTATGGGTCCTGCGGCTAGATTCACTGAAAATAGTCAAAGATAAAGAAAAAATAAATAAAATTTTCGGAGATAGTTTACTATGAGCTGTCCTTGAACTGATTTTTTTCTGCTTTTCCATCCCAAAAATTAGTTTGAGGATCAGAAATTTGGCAATGAGAGATTTCGAGACATCAAGTTTGTCATGTTGTACTAGGTTCAGGCGAATATTATCAACATACCTGAAGCATACGGGAGCCATTTTTCCAGGCATCGTGTTCACGTTGTCCATTTACTCCCTCCACGACCAATTTTATGATTGTCTGAAAACTAACGGTTCACCTGAACCTAGTACAACATAACAAAACTTTGTCTTACAAAGTTTCTGGCCTTCTGAAATGTGGAAGCAGTTTAAAAAACCTACCAAAATTGATGAAAGGGTTCTTCATCTGAATTCTTGGTTGATCATGCTTGTTCCTAGATCTTCCATGTTGACATGCTTTCTATTCGGGAAGGTTCTTATGTTCCGGATTTTGATCCACTTTTTACAGTCCTGAAAGAAAAAACTCACTAAAAGTACCTTACCTTGTTCAATCCAAGTATAAATACCCTTATGCACCTTCTTTGACCAGCACTGCTCCGAAAAACTTAGAATTTCTAAGTCTCGCCCATGCGTTCAAAAAGCCAAAAGCGTCTTTGGCGCTCAACTGTTTTCTTTTCGGAGTCCTTATTGGTAATTATAAGTAACTAAAAGTTCTTATAAGCAAATAAAAGTTCTTATAAGTAAATAAGATTTTCTTATAAGTAAAGCAAAATAGGCTCCGCCTTTTTTTCACTTATAAGTGAATTTTTGGGACCTATAAGTAAATAAAAGTTTTTATAAGTAGATAAAAGTTTTTATAAGTAAATCCGAATCCCCTGTGTTTGAAAATCATTTTTCACAGGGGATTCGGATTTACTTATAAAAACTTTTATCTACTTATAAAAACTTTTATTTACTTATAGGTCCCAAAAATTCAGTTATAAGTGAAAAAAAGGCGGAGCCTATTTTGCTTTACTTATAAGAAAACCTTATTTACTTATAAGAACTTTTATTTGCTTATAAGTACTTTTAGTTACTTATAATTACCAATAAGGACTCCGAAAAGAAAACAGTTGAGCGCCAAAGACGCTTTTGGCTTTTTGAACGCATGGGCGAGACTTAGAAATTCTAAGTTTTTCGGAGCAGTGCTGGTCAAAGAAGGTGCATAAGGGTATTTATACCTTGGATGGAACAAGGTAAGGTACTTTTAGTGAGTTTTTTCTTTCAGAACTGTAAAAAGTGGATAGATGAAAAATCCGGAACATAAGAAACTTCCTGAATAGAAAGCATGTCAACATGGAAGATCTAGGAACAAGCATGATCAACCAAGAATTCAGATGAAGAACCCTTTCATCAATTTTGGTAGGTTTTTTAAACTGCTTCCACATTTCAAAAGGCCAGAAACTTTTTAAGACAAAGTTTTGTTATATTGTACTAGGTCCAGGTGAACCGCTAGTTTTCAGATAATCGCAAAATTGGTCATGGATGAAGTAAATGGACAACGTGAACACGATGCCTGGAGAAATGGCTCCCGTAAGCTTCAGGTATGTTGATAATATTCGCCTGGACCTAGTACAACATGACAAACTTCATGTCTCAAAATCTCTCATTGTCAAATTTCTGATCCTAAAACTAATTTTTGGGATAGAAAAGCAGGAAAAAATCAGTTCAAGGACAGCTCATAGTAAACTATCTCCGAAAATTTTATTTAATTTTTCTTTATCTTTGTATATTTTCAGTGAATCTAGCCGCTGGAGTACCCATAGAAAACCCGCACAGCAGCAGCCCTTGCCCCGTCAGGTCAAATGACAGAGATGCTTACCCGGAGCACAGAAGATGCGCTAACCACATATCTTACCGGTAATATATCAGTCAGGTTGTTTTTTCTTTGTTTGAATAAATTTATATCTATCCTGCACTGTGCATAATTTTCTATTACCTATAAGTATTTATAATTACCTATAAGTGAATTTCCCGGGCGCCGAAAATAAAAATTACCTATAAGTGATTTCAAAATCACTTATAAGAACTTTTATTTACTTATAAAAACATCGAGTTTTTATAAGTAAATAAAGGTTCTTATAAGTAAATTCGAGTCCCCTGTGTTCCGCAAAAGGGTAAGACTTGACCCAAAATAGGCCGACTTTTTTTGCGCCAAGTCTTTCTATTTTCTTTTATTTTTCGGGCGCGGAAATTTGTGGGAGTTTCATAATTTTTGATGGTGCAGAAATGTTTTACGAGTTATATGATGGTTTTTACGTTTATACATTCTTGTTTTTTTGCGTTTCTTTTTAGTTATTTCAGTTATATTATCTTTTCCAATTTTCAGGCCAAATGGCGGAGTTTGTCGAGCTTTTGGGCAACAAACCCAAGCCAGTTGCTGATGAAGATGCTGCTGAGGACGAAGACATTGGAGATTTGGATGATCTGCTCGCTGAAACCAATGAATCCATGCTAGAAACTGATAAGACTGATAAGCCTCAAGATGAGCAAAGTAATCTTGTCACAGCGCCGAATGAAGATGAAGATTTGATCAAAGAAGCGGATGCTGGACCAAAAGTGCGAACGTTTGACCTGCTGAGGCAGGAAAATTGTATTCATGAGGTGAGGATTTTAAGATTTCTGCATTTCTTGGTTTAGGTGCCATGGATAATATAATGTTGTTCTTAAATGTGAAAGAATACTGCTGATGTGTTTGAAATGACAAAACGCGGTTTTAGACGTATTTTACAAGTCACTCTGTTTCTATGATCTTGTTTTACATGTATTTCATTGTCTTATCCATCAGAAGCTAAAATATTTTTTAGGTGGCCGTTCCTTCGTATATGCAGTATGTTCCCTTGGAAACACGTCAAACTAGGCCGGCCAAGACTTATATTTTCCAATTGGACTCTTTCCAATCCGAAGCCATCAATTGTGTTGATAATTATCAATCAGTGTTGGTCTCGGCACACACATCTGCCGGTAAAACCGCAATTGCTCTGTAAGTAGTTGGTTTTTTATTGTTGAATAGAAAATTTATTATGTTTGGAAGATTTTAGAGCTGTTTATGCTCTGTTAGGTTCATTTTTTTGTTGTAAAAATTTCATTTTTCCTGTGTGGTGTCTAAAGCAATATAATTTTAAGAATTTATCTTAAAATTTTGCTTTTTCAGATATGCAGTTGCCTTGGCTCTCCGTGAAAACCAGCGAGTCATCTACACATCGCCAATCAAAGCCTTGTCCAATCAAAAGTACCGAGAATTACTTGAAGAATTTGGCGATGTTGGTCTAATGACAGGCGATGTCACGCTTAATCCCGAAGCTTCTTGTCTTGTGATGACAACCGAGATCTTACGATCAATGTTGTATCGAGGTTCAGAGATCATGCGAGAGGTTGGATGGGTTATTTTCGATGAGATCCATTACATGAGAGATGAAGAGAGGGGAGTTGTATGGGAAGAGACGATCATCTTGCTGCCGGACAATGTGCATTATGTCTTTTTGAGTGCCACTATTCCAAACGCGAAGCAGTTTGCAGGTAAGAAAGATTTTTTGCGGATTTTTTATATTGTAGTAGGTGACTAAGGATAAGATCCAAAAAATCTTAAATTTTGGCTGTTATTTGATACGAATGAGATTGTAAGTGGTTTCATATGAATTTTTCTGTTTTTAGAGTGGATCGCCGTTCTTCACAAACAGTCCTGTCATGTGGTATACACCGATTATCGACCTACCCCTCTACAACATGTTTTCTACTCCAGTGGCGCCAACGGTCTCTACGAAGTGGTCTCAGCGCGCGGAGAGTTCAGAGAAGACCAATTTCAACAAGCTATGAGCTATGTCAGCGAAAAGGCCCCAGACGAAAGACAGAATCGAAAGTTGGCCCTACAACAGACAGCCAACTCGGTGGTCACAATTTTAAGAACGATACGAGAAAGGGAACTCATGCCGGTGATTGTATTCTCGTTCAGCAGAAGAGAGTGCGAGGCGTATGCGACGAGTTTGAAGGATATGGATTTTAATGACCATGATCAGAAGGATTTGATCCGCAAAATTTTTTTCAATGCTGTGTCGATTTTGGGTAAGGAGGTTTGAAGGAGAATTTTGGAGGCTATAGAGGATTTTAGAGGTAGTATAGGGGATTTTTATGTTGTGAGAAGGGTATTTTAAGGTTTTTTTGTTATTACAGTGCCTGATCCAGTGGCAAAAAACGTACCATTTTGTGTCCGGGAAGCATCAAAAAATGTGGCAAAATACCTCCCTCTCCAAGTAAAAGACTCCGTTTTCAAAAGCGCATCCTTCAAAACGGAGTTTTTTAGTTGGAGAGGGAGGTATTTTGCCACATTTTTGATACCTCCGGGATGTAAAATGGTATGTTTTTTCCACTGAATCAGGCACTGTAATAACAAAAACGCTCAAAAATACCCTTCTAACAACATAAAAATTCCTTATACCGCCTCTAAATTCCTCTATGGCTTCAAAAATTCTCCTTCAGACCTCATCCTTATTTGACCTCTTTTTTAGGCCCGGAGGATCAAAAACTCCCCCAGATCAAATGGATCCTCCCGTATTTGGTCCGAGGAATCGGGATCCATCATTCTGGACTGCTCCCTCTCCTCAAGGAATGCATCGAAATTCTGTTTGGCGAGGGGTTGCTGAGAATTTTATTCGCCACCGAAACCTTTGCTATGGGATTGAATATGCCCGCGAGAACAGTGCTATTCACATCGGCGAGAAAATTCGATGGAAAAGATACGAGGTGAGAAAAAAATTTTTGATTGTAAAATACGACATCTTTTTCTTGATAATATTTTTTGATCTAAAATAATGTTTTTAGATGGATAAACTCGGGAGAATACATTCAAATGTCGGGTCGTGCCGGAAGAAGAGGCAAAGACCCCCAGGGGCTGTGTATTTTAATGGTGGATCAGAAAATGAGCGATGAAGTTGCAAAAAAGATTGTGAAAGGACAGACGGATCCTCTGAATTCCCAATTCAGACTGACTTATAATATGGTTCTGAACTTGATCCGGGTCCCAGATGTGAATCCGGAATACATGATGGAAAGAAGTTTCAGGTACTTCCAGAACAAGGCCATGTTGGTCCCACTTTATGAGAGTAAGTGGTGTTTTGTTGGTGGTTTAGGGGGTTTAATGAGTTTTTTTGGGGCTTTTGGAGGGTTCAGTTGAATTTTGGGGGCTTCTAATTGTAAGGTATTTTACCGGAGTTGAACGATTGGGGAAAAGTAGGATTGGGGAAACCGAAAAGTTTTTTTTTCTTTGATGCAAGTGTCGAAATCAGGATAATCGAGGGTGCTGAAACTGAATAAAACATGAGAAATTCAAAAAAAATCCAAAAAAGCCGAAAAATTGAAAAATCCTCCTCAAATTAACTAAAACAAGGTCATAAATGCCTCTCAAGGTCGGATAAAATACGGATTTGGGACGATTGGGGAAAAAGACGAATGGGGAAACTGAAAAGTTTTGTTTTTCTTCGATGCAAATGTCGAAAGTAGGGTAATCGAGGATGCTGATTTCGAAAATGACATTCATTTTGTTGATATTTACTTTTTTCCTTTGGTAGTACTGTAAAGTAGTTATTTTTTGAATTCTTTTAACAATAATTGATTTAGAGGTTTTCAATAGTGCTGATACCGAAAATCTTATTAATTTTTCGGATTTGAAAGCAGCACCATCGAAAACTCCCAAATCGTGTATTTATGAAAAAATTAAAAGAATTACTGCTTTACAGTACTACTTAAGGAAAAAAGTAAAGTTCAAAAAAATTAATGTCATTTCTCAAATCAGCGCCCTCGATTATCCTAATTTCGACACTTGCATCGAAGAAAAGTAATACTTTTCGGTTTCCCAATCGTATTTTTCTCCAATCGTCCCAAATCCGTATTTTACCGGGCCTCGAGAGACATTTATGACCTTGTTTTGGCTAATTTGAGGATGATTTTCAATTTCTTTTGGATTTTTTTTTTTGAATTTTTGGTGGTTTATTCACTTTGAAATTTGATTTTTAGAGTACAAGGCCCGTCGAGAACAACTGGATCGCTTCGAAATTCCCTTCGGAGATCAACTCACCGCCTATAATCAACTCATCGCCCTGGCCGAAGACATGAAAAAGAAGATTCAAGCAGTGGTGATAAGACCCAAGTACATCACTCCCTACTTCCAAACCGGCCGTCTCTTCCGAGTTCGCACCAAAACTCGCGACCTCGGATGGGGAGCTCTTCTGAATCACAAAAAGACGATTAATAAGATGGGAGATACCATTTATATCCTCGAACTTGCTCTCAGACTCTCCTGGGAGTGTGTGAAGAATATCGAGAATGTGGAGGAACTGGAGCCACCTCCGGCCAATGAATCAGCAGCTTTGGAATACGTCCCAGTCGAGTTGAGCTCAATCTCGGCGATTTCGACCATGAGAATCAAACTTCCCGAGAGTCCGGAAGCTCCAAAAGCAAAAGAAGCCATCAAATTATCTTTAGAGGTATGTGGGAATAGCGGGTTTTTGGAGGAAATTTTGTTTTGAGAGGTTTTTGATATTAATTTACCTTGTTTTAGAGGAGCATGAAGAAATTCGCCGGAAAGGTCCCCGAATTCGACCCAATTCAGATGGGCGTCAAGGATCAGAACGTGCTGAAGGACATTGAAAAGCTGAAGGATATGGAAGCGAGAATTGCAGACCATCCACTCAGGAAACGAGAAGATTTTGCGGAAATCCAGGCAGCTTATAACAGAAAAGTGGAACTCACAGAACAGCTCAGAATTGCCCGAGAAGAGATCAAAAAAGTACGCGGAGGCCAGTTCACGGACGAATTAAGGGCCCGAGAACGAGTCCTGAGAAGGTTGCAGTACGTGGATTCCTACGGGCAGATCACGGCCAAAGGAAGAATCGCCTGCGAAATCAGTGCCGCCGATGAAATTTTGCTAACGGAAATGATTTTGAGCGGAGTGTTTAAAGAAATGCAACCTCCAGACGCCGCTGCACTCTTGTCCTGCTTTGTTTTTGAAGAGAAAACGGACAAAACTCCACCATTGGATGATCAACTTCAGGGTGCCTTCAAAACTTTGATTGTGAGTTCGTTTTTGAAATTTTTTGTTTTGGTTTTTAGGTAAAACAAGGAATTTCATAATGGATGAAAGGGATAAAAGAGTGGTGGAACTTTGGAGAGACAAAGAATTGCCGGGTTTGCACTAAAAATCGCATTTTTCAGACCCACGCCAAGAAGGTCGCCAAAATCAGCAATGAATGCAAGTTCGACCTGGATGAGTCGTTGTACGTCGACAAACTGAAGAATGGAATGATGTGGGTGGTGAAACAATGGTGCTCAGGCGCCTCGTTCCAAGAAATTAGCGAAAATTCCGGGATTTTTGAAGGCTCGATCATCAGATGTATGAGACGGCTTGAAGAACTGATTAGACAAATGATTTGCGCTTCCCAAGCCATGGGCGACGAGAAAATGGCCGCCACCTTCGAGGAGGCCTCCAAGAAACTCAAGCGGGACATTGTTTTTGCCGCATCTCTCTATCTCTGAATACTCTTACTGTTGTTGTTAATTTTATTCGAGAAATCCAAGATTTTGAACGAAAATTGACGCGGTTTTGGTCGGAATAGAATGGGTTATAGGATGAATTGGATGACTTGGAAGTTCAAAGCTTTTACAGGATCCAATTCCTTTAGAAAAAGGATTTTCAGCGAAAATGAGGGGCATTTTATATTATACTAGGCAAAAACATCATTTTTAGATGGTATATAAAAGAGAAATTTGTAGTTTTCGAACCATACACCAAGTAACATACTATACCAACCTAACCGCACCAAAATCGAGCTGGATTTCTATGTTGTTGCACCTTTCTTTACCGTTTTTCATTTATAATTGAACTCAGTGTCATTGAAGATAATAAATCACTTTTTTATAACTTTGAAGTCTTGGAAAAATGAGATAATCGATTTGCTCATCCTTGGCCATACGATTTACAAAAGATCTACGTGATTTTTTCGAAAAAATCCGCAAACCACAAATTTTCGGAAAAGTCTCTCCTTTTTTCCGAAGTTTTCGTTTCATACGGACCGTTCCTGTTCTAATCAGGTTACCCATGTGGTTTGTGATCCCATTGACTCGTAATAAACAACGGAGAAACGTTTTCGGCCATCTGATAATCGGTGTTTTGTGGAGAAAACAACAAAAAGTACGCTTTTTCTTTTGAGGAACTCGGGTTTAGATAGCTTGTTTTGAACAAGATGGGAATGGTAAACGTTCAGGATAGCGGCAAGGTGGTGTAAACGAGTTATTACAGCAATCAAATGATTTTTTTGTGGATTTATGGGGCAAAATCATTGTTTTAGGTAGTAAAGTTATGTTGTTGATGTTTTTTGATGGGTTTGCGATTGATAAGCCGCAGAAAATAATTGTAATTGCTTTCAAATTTAATAAGCTTTATTTTGAGACTATCACCCCTTGGAAATTTCGGCATCTTCCCATCCAGACAACCTCGATGTTGTACTAGGCAACTGAAGGTGAAAATTTTCCCTGAAAATACGAACAAATATCTCTTTTTGGCCCAAAAATTTCGAACACAAATTGCCAAACGTATTTTACTTTGAATCTTTTCAAATCCCCTCACATTATCCGATATCTTCCATCATTTTTTTGTGCAACGTGAAAATTTTGACCAAGGTATTTTTTGTTGTTTTCTCTCCGTTCCTTTTCGTTCCCCATGCCCGTCACAAACACTCTGTTCATTCGGAAAACGCTGAATGCACGTTTTCCCCCAAAATTCCGTCCCTTTTCCGAGTTTCGGCCGGCCTGAAAAACAAGTGTTCTTTTTGCGTTTTTCCTTCAAGCTCCGTGAAAAGATGGGTAGATTTGAACGGGGAATCAAGTGAAAAATGGAGGAAGGAGTGTAGGAAGTTGTTGAATTTGTTGGAGCTGTTTTGGTAAACGATTTGAGACCGAATTAGGTTGTTTTAGATAAATTAGTGTCTAAAATAATGTTTTTAGAGCTGAAAATCGCGAATTATTGCCGCCAATCGGCCAGAAATGAAAGCCTAGACAATCTAGAGGCCTTGGTTGATAAAACTGGTATTAGTTTGAATTGATCTCGCGATGTTTGACTTACTTATCGAGCTTTTTCTGATATTGCACTTCCCTGTTTCTAAAATTTTGATTTTCAGGTGGATTGATCATGTTGGCCTCGTCCCGATTCGCATCAAAGCGCTCTCTTGTTGCTGGCCAGCGTATGAGGTAAGAATGTTCCACCAATATGCTGTATAAACCCCTTTTTTCATCACTTATCTTACCCATGACCTTTCAGCTCGGCTTGGTGGAGTGGCGTTGAAATGGGCCCACCAGATGCCATCCTCGGAGTCACTGAGGCCTTCAAACGTGATCAAAATCCCAAGAAGATCAACCTCGGTGTTGGAGCTTATCGTGATGACGCCGTAAGAGAAAATTTTGTTATCCATGATGTATAATATAATTTAGGGCAAACCTTTCGTTCTCCCATCCGTTCGCAAAGCCGAGAACGCGATTATTGCCCAGAAATTGGACAAGGAATACACTACCATCGCTGGAATCCCCGAGTTCACCGCCAATGCCATCAAACTGGCGTTGGGAGCTGACAACCCAGTTATCGCGGAAAAAAGAAACGCCACTGTTCAGTCTATCTCCGGAACTGGTGCCCTCAGAATTGGAGCTGAGTTCCTGGTAAGTTTCATTTCATCTTTTTTTGATTTTAGAATTTTTTTTGACTTGGTGATCAAGTACAATATAAAATTTGGCGAGAAGTTGCGTCAAATTATGCAAAAGCCAACAAAGAGGAGTCTAATGTAATAATATGTTTTTAGAAGAAGTTCTTCCCCAACAAGGTCATATACCAACCCACTCCCACCTGGGGAAACCATATCCCAATCTTCAAATTCGCCGGCCTTGATGTCAAACAGTACCGTTACTATGACTCCAAGACTTGCGGATTTGACGAGCAAGGAGCCCTCGATGATATTGCAAAGATCCCGAAGAAATCGATCATTTTGTTGCACGCCTGTGCCCATAATCCAACTGGTGTTGATCCAACTGTAAGTTAATATTTTTTTGATTAGTTCTTATGTGTTTAGCAAGAGCAATGGAAGAAGATTTCGGAACTCTGCAAGAAACAGGAGTTGTTCGTCTTCTTCGACATGGCTTATCAAGGATTTGCCTCTGGCGATATTAACCGTGACGCCTTTGCTGTTCGCTATTTCATCGAACAAGGACACAACATCTGCTTGGCCCAGTCGTTCGCTAAGAACATGGGACTGTATGGTAAGGATTTTAGGGCGAATGGAGGAAGTTTTCAGAGTTTTGGAGGCTTGAAAAGTGATTTTGGATATTATCCTTGATATTTTTGATGAAATTGTTGTGTAAAAGTTGTTTAAAGTGTATAATAACTACGATTTTTTTCCAGGAGAACGTGTTGGAGCATACACAATTGTCGGCCAAGACGCGGATGAGGCCAGCCGAGTCATGTCCCAGCTCAAAATTTTGATCCGCCCCATGATTTCCAACCCTCCAATTCACGGTGCTCGAATTGCCCACAAGATTTTGACTGACAAGGACTTGTACAATGAATGGTAAGGAAACTTTTGAGGGTAAAACAAAGATTTTGATCTATATTTTTTCGAAAAAATCGAGATTTTTATAATTTTTGGGTCAAAAAAATTTATTTTGGCCATAAAATGAAGATTTTATTGTATTTGTTGTGTGAAATTGGGGTTATTTGTAATTTTGGAGGACGGATTTTACTCTAAAATTCGGATTCTGCAGGTTGGTGGACGTGAAAGGAATGGCCGACCGAATTATCACCATGAGAACCACGTTGAAGGACCTCTTGGCAAAAGAGGGCTCACAGAAGAACTGGAACCACATCACCGACCAAATTGGAATGTTCTGCTTCACTGGCATCTCTCCTCAACAGGTACGGTATTTTTTTTTGATTTGAAATTGGATTTGAGCGAATTTGGGATCGGCAGGCTGCGCCCAGGGATTTGGAAAAATAGGGTTACAATAGGGGCTGGAGGGCCCTTGAAGGCTGCAATAGCTTGGAAATTTAGGGATGAGATGATTTATAGAGAAAATATGTAAAATACGAAGAATTCATGGATGTTTTTTATATCGAATATTGCACATGAAAATCGAAATTTTTGGTTTTTGATCTTATGAATTGGTTTCCTCTCCACATGACTCTGATAAGCAATTTGCACCCAAATCGATGAGTGCAGAGAGTTCTATGAAGTGTTCTCTTATCGGGTTCAATTTTAAAGCGAATTGATAGGAATCTGGAGTTTAAAAAGGCTTGTGATCTCAATTGTTGGTTCATAAAAAGGTCAGAAAAGTAATTGAAAGGGCTTTGGAAAATTTGAGAAAAGGAAAATAAAAAAAAAGACCTTTGGACAAGTAAATAGAAGTGAAAAAATGAAAAATTTGATCTAAAATAATATAATTTTTAGGGAAATTTATGAATTTTTTAATTGAAAATGATAAATTTATGAGTAAAATGCCAAGATTTTTTAGAAAAAATTATTTTTATTGATTTTTATGCCCTAAACAAGTTTTTTTGCAGGTGGAAAGCCTAATCAAGGACTACAGCGTGTATCTGACCAAGGACGGCCGCATCTCGGTGGCCGGCATCTCCTCCAACAACGTCGGCTACCTCGCCCACGCCCTCCATCAAGTTACTAAATAATTTTTTTAACTTTATTCTCCAGTCTAGGCACTTTTCACAGGTTTTTTCATAGCCCCAATTTATTGTTGATCTAATGGCATTCTGGTTTGTAAATGTCTAATAAAGTTTGGAAAAATTTATTTTTGAATTTAAAAAAAAAATTGTGTTATTCTTGCAGGAGATGAAAGATTTATGAAATTATGTTAGAATCAAGGCATTTCCCATCAATTTCCCCCCGAATCGGCCCGAAAACCAAGAGAAAACGGAGCGCGCCCGGTTAGCTCAGTCGGTAGAGCACCAGACTCTTAATCTGGCTGTCGCGGGTTCGAGCCCCGCATCGGGCTAAGGCTCTTTTTGTTCATTTTTTCGAAGAAAAAGATTGTTTTTGATGTTTTATTGAAATTATAATGTAAAATACGGAGTTTCTATTTATGATTTCGCTGGATAATATCATTTTTAGGTGTAATATTACCCAGAATCCCATGTTTTCATAAATTTTTCAGTGTTTTCCCAAATAAAACTTCTGCTTTTGACAAAACATGTAAAAAAACTTCCTAAATCTGTGGGAATTCCCATGTTTTCTCGCGAAAATATCCAAGGAAGTGTCTGCTCGCTGATTACGACACACGGCATTCTGTACTTTCGGGACATGGTCTCCCCAAAAATTTTCTTTTTTTTTCAGACTGCACTTCTTTCTTTGTGTAATCCATTACTCAAAATTTTTTAACAGATTTTTCTAAATTTTCGATTTAACTTTAAAAAAAAGTTTCTCTGCAGAAAATTCGGTTTTTTAAATTTTAAATTTGAAAAAAAAAATTTTTTTTTTATTTTTGAAAACTTAGTTTATCCCCTGAGCCCAATGATGATGACTTCTAAAAAATAAAAAAAAAATATTCGGATTCGGTTTGAAAAACAAGAAAATATGCATTAAAATGGGTTTTATTGGATGCCGGGGGGTTAACGGACTTGGCCAAAATTTCCGATATTTAGTGGAAAAAAAGGCATTTTGGCTACGATCCGGCATAAGAATAAGCCCTCGGGGCTTTATTTGCATTTCATAAAAAAAAATTTGAGAGAAAAATTTGAAATTTTAAATTTATTCAAATTAAAAAAATGTGTTTAAAATTTCCATTGCCAACTTTTAGTATATTTTAAGTCGTATTTTAGCCATCAAACATCTTTTTTTCAATCCCAAAATTAGTCTTGAGCTGATTTTAAGGCGCTTTACGGATGATTTCCCTCCGTTTTTCGGCTGAGTCACTGTTTTTTGGCTTTATTGACGTCGCAATTCCTCATAATTATTTTTAGTCAACTCACCAGGGATTGATCTTTCCTTTTTGACCAATAAAAGTCGAGTTTTTATCATTTGTTTTATTTCTAAAATTTTCCCGCACGGTGCAAGATTTTTGAAATTTTCGCACAGTGCAAAAATCATTTTTGCAGTGACCTTGAAAAACGCACGGTGCAAAAAAATTGAAGAAAAAATTTGCACGGTGCACTTGCAAGTTTTGCCTTTTGCACGGTGCGTTGTCGCCGATTTTTTTGAATTACCCTGCACTAGACATGGCCAGTGGGCTGGGCCGGGCCGGCCCAGCCCGGCCTCCCGGGGGAACGAGTTTTAAAGGCCCCGGGGCCGGGCCGACCTCTTCCGGCCCCCGGGCCGGGCCGCGATTTTCGGCCCGGCCCGGCCCCCCAGCCATGTCTACCCTGCACCGTGCATTTTTCATTTCCGCACCGTGCGTAAATTCACATTTTTTGAATGCACAGTGCGTCCGTCGCAGGTCCTTGAGCCCATTCTTGTTTTGCACGGTGCAGTCGGTTTTGTCGCGCAAAGATGCCCGATTTTTTTGTTTTGGCCATCGCAAGGTTTGAACCCCCATTTTGTTCCGCATTTTCTTTCCATTTTCTGTCGCTGAAATTTGGCACAGTGCAAAAGGCTTCCCTGTTCTTCCGCACAGTGCAAAACAAACTCTCTCGTTCTCTTGCACTGTGCAGTGAAAATCCTTTGTAAAAAATTCCGCACCGTGCAAAAAACAATTGTTTTTTGTGCGCAAAGTGCGATCTTTTGTTGGAGATTTTTGATTGTAAATGCTCAAAATTAATTCCAAATCCATTGACAATAGTAATCCTTCGTATTTCTATTATTATTTTGTGTAATCAAAGACTTTGGAATAAAAAAATAAAAACAAAATTCGTTTGTGGATTAGAAAACTCAGAAAACCGTGAATCCGGCGTTACTTCAGCCTTTGTTTCTTTAGTTTCGAGATTTTCAACCTCTATTTTGAGATTTTTTTAGTTTTCATAGTAAAATTTCCCCTCCAAATATTCGTATTTGCCCTATTTTCACGGCATTCCACTTTCTCTGAACTATCTAGACGGTATCGTATTATATCCGATATCAAAACCTTGAGAACCCCCAGCTTTTTGCGTTATAAAATGAACTTTTTGTGTTTGCACAGTGCAAAAGAGACTTTTCTCGCATTTTGCACTGTGCGTTTTTGAGTGTTCAATTTTTGTTGCACCGTGCGACCCCGCATCGATTGCGACCCAAAATGGGGTAAAGCGACCCCGGGGTGAAAATTCTTTGATTCTTTTCGGGAAAAACTTGCTTGAGGGGTTTTCGAGGGTGCTGATTTCGGAAATGATGTTCATTTTTTCCGAAACTTACTAGTTTTCCTTAAGCAGTAGTGTTAAAAAGTAATTTTTTGAAATTTTTCCAAAAATACTCGATTTAGGGGTTTTCGAGGATGCTGATTTCGAAAATGATGTTCATTTTTTCCGAAACTTACTAGTTTTCCTTAAGCAGTAGTGTTAAAAAGTAATTTTTTGAAATTTTTCCAAGAATAATCGATTTAGGGGTTTTCGAGGATGCTGATTTCGAAAATGATGTTCATTTTTTCCGAAACTTACTAGTTTTCCTTAAGCAGTAGTGTTAAAAAGTAATTTTTTGAAATTTGTCCAAAAATACTCGATTTAGGGGTTTTCGAGGGTGCTGATTTCGAAAATCATGTTAGCTTTCTTCTTTATAGTACTATCTGGTACTATACAGTACAAGGTGAAAATATGGCTCTTGGCGTTAATGGTGCTGTTTTGATGCTTAGTACTCCTCAAAAACACGTTTTAAATAATTGGTATTGTTTGGTACTGTCCGGTACTATGTAGTACAAGGTGGAAATAGGAGTACTAAGGAACAGAACAACACCACTAACGCCTAAAGGCCAAATTTTTACCTTGTACTACGTAGTACCAGACAGTACCAAACAGTACCAATTATTTAAAACGTGTTTTTGAGGAGTACCAAGCATCAAAGCAACACCATGAACGCCAAAAGCCATATTTTCACCTCGTACTGTATAGTACCAGATAGTACTATAAAGAGGAAAGGTAACATGATTTTCGAAATCAGCACCCTCGAAAACCCCTAAACCCAGTATTTTTGGAAAAATTTCAAAAAATTACTTTTTAACACTACTGCTTAAGGAAAACTAGTAAAGTTCAGAAAAAATGAACTCGAAATTCGAAATCAGCACCCTCGAAAACCCCTAAATCGAGTATTTCTGGAAAAATTTCAAAAAATTAGTTTTTAACACTACTGCTTAAGGAAAACTAGTAAGTTTCGGAAAAAATGAACATCATTTCCGAAATCAGCACCCTCGAAAACCCCTAAAGCAAGTTTTTCCCGAAGAGAATCAAAGAATTTTCATCCCGGGGTCGCTTTACCCCATTTCGGGTCGCAATCGAGCGGGGTCGCAATCGAAGGATTCCATCGCACAGTGCCGTCTTTCGCCGCTTTCGCACCGTGCGGTTAATGCTTTTGACATTGCACAGTGCAGTTTTTTGGCCTTTTGTTTTTTGCACCGTGCGAAAAATAAAGTTTTTGAACTGCACGGTGCAGTTTTGCTAACCTTTTGTTTTTTGCACCGTGCAATGAATGTTTTTGATTCTTCACGGTGCGGTTTTTTAACACTTTGTTTTTTCGCACCGTGCGATAAATGTTTTTGACACTGCACGGTGCGGTTTTTAACTTTTTGTTTCTTCGCACCGTGCGTTTAGTCGCGGTTTGAATTTTCGCACTGTGCATTTCTAACTTTGCCCTTTGCACAGTGCGAAACGAAATTTCCGCAATTTGCACCGTGCATATTAAAAATACGTCGCAATTTTGTTCGCACTGTGCGATTTGTCGCAGCTCTCATTTTTCGCACTGCGCAGTGACATTCCAGTGATCGCACTGTGCAAAATCAAATTTTTATTTGCACTGTGCAATTTCCATCAATTTTTGGCAACTTGTTTCGTACGGTGCAAATTCAGTTTTCTGCCAAGTTTGTTTAAAAAAGTGACGCTAAAAATATGTAAATTCGTTTAAAGAGGCAAGATTTGGCCTTGTCCCTTCTTGGAGTATCCCGTCCCGCTCGTTTTTTGCAAAAAAATCTTTAAATTTCTCAAAGTTTGTAGTTTTAGACTCGGTTTTCCAGCCTCTAATGTTTTTATTTGAACTCGATACTCAAGGAAAGGCTCTTCAGGAGGCGCGCGTAGGGGTGGGATCTTTTACTTTTTACTTTATTTTACTTTTTTTGTGCTTTGATGAGAATTTTTTTCAAAATGGGTGGAGTTTGGCCCGCACTGTGCGGTTTTCCATTTTGCACCGTGCAGCCTCGAAATTGCTGTTTTTCGTTTGCACTGTGCGAAAAAATTTACTTCTCCGCACTGTGCAAAATCTTAATTAAAAAACTGCACTGTGCGGTTTTTCCATTTTGCACCGTGCAGCCGCAAAATTGCAGTGTTTCATTTTGCACCGTGCGACGAAGCCGTAAATCTGAATTGCACTGTGCGGTTTGAAAAATAGTTTTTGATTTTGCACTGTGCGATCAAACTTGCCCCCTCGCACTGTGCAAAATCTTCATTGAAAAACTGCACTGTGCGGTTTTTCATTTTTGCACCGTGCAGTCGCGAAATTGCTGTTTTTCATTTTGCACTGTGCGACAAACCGTAAATCTGAATTGCACTGTGCGGTTTGAAAAATA